TTGAATATACACATGCTTAATTTGTTGTTTTTTCATCATTTTCCCTGTTATTTCTTCAATTTTTCAACTGTCTTAGCATGAAATCTTTCTTAATTTTCTATAACCAGCAAAGGAAGGCTTGGATCTGCTTAAGTATTACTTGTTTAATGAAATCAGCTAACTCTAATTAGTGAATTTCCTTCTATTGTCTGTGTCACAAGGAAGAATTAATGGCAAAGGGAAGAAAGCAGAAAAGGACTGGAGCCAATGAAGCAGAAAACAGACGAGGACCAGGACGACCGCCAGGGCCGCCACTGTCTGAAGAAGAGAAGAAAAAGGACGGGGAGAAAAATATGGAATCAAAGATGGTTAAATAATAAATCAAGGGAAAGGAAAGTAAGAATTTATTGTCCAATCTTGTCTACTGCATTTTTTATATATAGAATTACTCGTGCATAAAGAAAAGCTGAGGATAAGAAAAACGGGAGAAAGATCATCACACCTTTAAACAAATGTCTTTGGACTTCTCAGTAGTTCCCTCAGATAATTTCTCGAACAGTTCTTGCCATTTTCTAATGAATGTGGCCTACAAATATATAATTCAAACAGAAATTAATCTTCACTTATAAAGAAAAAATATCACTAAATTCAACTAAATTAACTTGTACTTGACAATATATAAAATTAACTTGTACTTGACAATATACAAAATTAACCTTACGACAAGCAAATAGGACACGGACAAGAGCTTGGCCGAGTTGGTAACCACTAACTAAAAACCCTTGATTTGCGGTCAAACTCAAGGTTTAAATCTCTACCATGCCAGGCAACTAACCCTCTAATGTACCAAAAAGGAAAAAAAATTTAAAAAAAAAAAAAAGAAAAAAGAGTAAACAGAACCCCGCAAACTATATTCCGACCCCTCCAACGCAAAGTAGGAACTAATTCACATGTTTTAAGTATTAACATGTTAGACTATTTATGATGCTCTTTGGTTTTGAATCCTTCGTTAATGTATCCATAGCTGAATTTTGTCAGTACCTTTAATTTTTGTTTTTGAATTGTAAATGCTTGTAATGGTAAATCAAAAAGTTTTATATCACATGCGACCTTTTTTTTTCAACATTAGTTAGATTTCTTCAAATTTGTTTTCTACTAGAAATACATATTAATTTATAAGTTTATATATTTCAACATCAACACCAAATGGCTATTTAGAATGTAGATTGATCAAAATTTTCCAACTTATTGATACAAATGTTCCTAATTTAATAATTTAAAATAGGTGATTTTGAAGTACACAATTCATTTCTTTTTTTAAATCTATCACTTAACTAAAGAATGCTCCAATTGTTCAAAACTCTAGATTAAAAAAATATAAAATAAAATTCTTGACCAAAATTTAATCCAAAATCCTTTGCATAGCAGGGTAAGTATCACTAGTTATTTTAAAGTTATTTATTTATTTATTTAAAGATAAGCTGAACATATGTTACGTTATGTTGGATATTATGTTTGGATTTTAAAGATACTTTATTTGGTATTTTTTAGGAGTTTAGGTAAAACCCAAAAAGACAAGAAAGTAAGGCACAGAAAATATCGTACCATCAAATCTTCATCAATCTTCATTAACTTTTCCTTCGTCTCTTGATCTTCAATACCCTTCATTTGACAAACAAAAAACAAATTAAGATTAAAAAAAAAAAATTTAAGGCAAATACATGAAATAAAATGTTTGTAGCATTTAATTGTAATTGCTATTAATAGAAAGTGCATAAATTAAAGATCATCGATCATATATACGTCATCAATTACACCTATCTCTAAATCTAAACTCTCTTCATTTATTCTCCTCATGTAATCTTCACTAAAGGGTTTGAACATCTCAATAATTACGGGCATCTCACAGAAGGCCTTGTATACTTCGCGTTCCAACTGCATGCACAATTAAAACAGAATAGATGAGGATTTTTTGGGAATATAATTCAAGCAAACATCAATCATTCATAACAATATAGATACCTTTTTGTTTCCCACAAATAAACTATCATATTATGGAGAAATAAATTCATCCAACTGAATTCTATAAATATATAATTCAAACAATAATCTTTAATTACAAAGAAAAAATATCACTAAATTCAACTAAATTAACTTGTACCTGAGAATATACAAAATTAACCTGACAAACAATAAACAGAACTCTAAAAAGTAAAACTCAGAGCTAACTACTAGGACTCAAACAACCATCATCTGCCACTCTAACAGCCTTTTTATCTCATCTACACACAAGGACAGAAACTGAACACAATCACTAATGCAAAAACATATGCATGCAACACTTTCCAGCTTCCTCTTTAACCACACAAACTACTTGATGACCTGAACGAATTCAAAAATTTTGCTTTTCTCCCATTGATCATTTTTATCATTCCAAATCAACCACAAAATAATTAACCAAGAAAACTAATGTCCCAACCTTAACATTTATATGTAACTATCAAACATCCCATAGACAAAATGTAGACAACAAGTATCAACAGAATCAGTGCAAAACAGAGCCAAATCCCCCCTGAGTACAGCGCCTCATCCAAAGATATAGGGACTGAGTGCATTTTAGAAACAAATGGTCCATATCCCCTCCATCAACACCAAAAAAAACAGATAATATATCTAAGACCTCTTTTAATCAAACCATTAGGTCAGCGTTTAAATGCTGACATAATTAATGCATCCAAAAAGATAATAAAAAATAAAAAAATAAAAAACAAACTAAAAGAGGATAGACTCAAGATCAATGATTAATAGATTCTTCTCCACATCTTTAGGGTTGCTGGAAGGTTGTGGAATTAAAGAACAAAAATCTTTGATAAAAAGTTTGCTGCAGCCCTAGGACTGGAGAGTAAGAGGAAAGGTGAAAACTCAGCTGTAAGCTCAAGGGCTTATCATCTAGTCATGGGAGCTTCCTTTAAGCTTGTACATTACTACCTCATCCTTCACTTGGCTTGCTTAAAGCAGAGTGAACATATAGGAAATTAAACCGTAATGAAGGAATACCATATAACTAAAGGTGGGATATGACACCTTTTAGCCAAAGTAGTATCACAAAACATGCCTTTGTCCAACAGACCAATAATAATTCATCAAATAATAAAGTATTTATTTCCCTTATCAATTTCCACAATCTTCCCACAGTTAAAATGCATTCAAATTCCTATTAAGAGTTTCTGAGATTGATAGAGAAAAATCATTCAAAGTAATTCTCATAATAAAGCAGATAAGTATGTTTATAATGGCCTCCTAATAATCAATTGAATCAATTTAAGCACGCAATAAGTACTCTCAATCCATTCAGGACTTATACGAAGAACTGGACATTAGAGCAATAATACAGTAAAGGAGCACCTTCAAAAAGTTCTATAAGAGAGAATTAAGGCTCAACTCAGATAAATTCTTTTCCACACATATTGGACATTAAATTCTTATTCACTACCTTACAATACATATGAAAACAACAGGACATTAATTATTTACCTTCTTATTTGCCCGACTTTCCTTATCATGTGCAATCTTCCTTCTCTTCCTTTCTCCTTCGGGCAGTAGCGGACGTCCTGCTCGTCGTCTGTCTCCTCTCCTCCCTCCGCCATTAATTCTTCCTTGTGACAGATACAATATAGGAAATTATTCATTAGAGTTAGCTGATCTCACTAAACAAGTAATACTTAAGCAGATCCAAACCTTCCTTAAGCCGATGATAGAAAATTAAGTAAGCTTTAATATTCAACTAAAAATTAACAAACAACATAGTAGCTGATCTGATTAAACAAGTGATACTTAAGCAGATCCAGGCCTTCCTTTGCTGATAATAGAAAATTAAGGAAGATATACTCAAACAACCGATCAACCAACAAAACAAGACAGTAGAAAAATTGAAGAAATGATAGGGAAAATGATCAAAACAACAAATTAAGCATCTATATATTATTCAAACCATGATGACGATGAAAAGTTGGAGACGAGAAGCCTACCTGTCGGATAGGGCTGGATCAATCTGAAAATGGAAATTTGCCCATCTTGCCATGAATTTATAGGGAGGGGAGAAAAAAAGAAAGAAGAGGCTAAAAAGGCTTCAACAAAGGAATCAATTTTTGCCGCGAGTCTTAAATGCCAGTCCCAGCTTTCAAGCGTCCGTCGACAGCAAGCTTAGCAGCTTCATATACTCAAACAAGTCAACAAGTTATGTCGTTTAAAAAAAAAAAAAAAATCAAATGTGAACACTAGGTTGTGATTCTTTTTGTATACTTATTTAATTTGAAAATATTATAATTATAATATTATATAAAATTATAAATTTATT